CATGTCTGCCTCTTCCTCTATCATTGTTCTGTGAGCATGGTCCTTCCCAGCAGGCCTTGCAGCTGTCTAGTGAGGCAAAGCCTGTGCTGTGATGCTACAATGTCCAGGAAGCATGAGGATGGCTCTTGGTGGTGCTTGTGACGTGACTCCTACTTAGGCAACTTTTGGACTCATTAAGCTGTAATGGGGACGATATGGAGAAGGTTGACATGCCTCTAATGTGTGTGTAACTTTCCGATTTGAGGGGGTATCTATTGATTTATTTCTGCTCAGTTGTCCATTAGTTTGCCAGTCCTTGGGCACACAGAAGTGATTGGGGTGTGGTCTTCCCCCTCTGCTAGTTTACTGTCTAGGGGAGACCAAATTTTACTGGGCTCTGCCTGCTACAAGGTAATGAGAGCTACCCTTGAATACAGTGTGATGGGGAGAAAAAAATAGATCTGAGGTAAGGAAAGGAAATATTTTTTTTCCACTTGTCTGTAGCATTTGAATGTATTGCCACATCCAATATTGCATACTTTTTTAAAAATAAGACAATTGGGTCGCCCTGTTATTTTCAGCCACAGAATCTAGTTTCCTTCACAGTTATAATCGAAAACATTTATTTGTGGTCCCTGCCCCCCACCGCCCCCACTATACCGGTGCCCCTTGCAGACATGGAGCTATTATTGCCAGCACCACATGGTGGGTGCTCAAGCCAGTGTTCCTTGAATGAATAAACGGGTGCATGCATGAATGAAGGAATGAAAAAAATGAACCAACAAACACACAAGCAGACGAATGCTGCTTCCCACCATGTGGCTAACCAGGCAGCACATGGGGCAGGGAGGCAGGTTTACTAGCCTGCAAGACAACTGACGTGAGAGTTGGAGCAGTGCAGAGAGCCTGGCTGGCCTGTTGAAGGAGCTGAGCTGGGAAGGGGAGAGCTGATCCAAGGGAGGAGGGAGACACGTGTGGGACTGAGAAGGGCCAGGACGCCCGCTCCCCGGGCACTGACACGTCTCACCTCTGGGGGCTCTTTGAGGTGCCACCTCCTTCTATGTGGGGCTGGCCAATAAGACATGGGTGCTGGGACTGAGTCTGCGGCTCTCTGGTGTCAGTGCATCTTTTCATCCCGGCTCTTTTGGCCTTGTTGTAGGGAAGTAGCCAGTCGGGGCATGTGGCAAGGGAGAGACTTAGCTTATTTATGGTTATTGGAATCTAGAGAAATACTCAAGAACAGAGGCCACTGAGTCTCCCACAAAGTCCAGGAAGTCCCAGTTACCTCCCTCTACTATTGGGGTTGTCCTTGAAGGCACCTCAGCTAAGCAGCAATGAAAGGCTGGTGGGGTGTAGACCAGCTTGAAGTGGCATCTGGACTGGAGTTGGAAGCCCGGCTATCCGCTGCTCAAGGTCTCGCCTCATGCAAGCTGCTCTACTTGCTGAGCCTCACTCAAAGATCTTATCTGCAAAATGGCAGCCACTGGGCAGGAGTAAATGAGAAAGCAAAAGTAGAGCCTTTGCGTTTCTCTGCATGCTCACTACCATATTGTCAAATGTACTGAGCATGGTGCTTAGAATTCTGTAAAGATTACTGCATTTAATACTTGCAGCAACCGTCAGAGTTGGCTGTAATTATGGTCCTTGCTTTGCAGATGAAGAAACTGAGGCACAGAGAAGCTAGAGTCACATCACATGAAACCCTCTTGCCTCCAGCGCCTGCGCCCTTAACACTGGACACAAGTCCTGTGGTTTGCTAAGCTCACTCATGGTTTCTGTTCATGTCATTCCTGTTGGAGGCATAGAAGAACATGAGAATAAAGTTAACACGATTATTGAATTGTTAAAACAGCGGTAGCTTTTCAGCAGGACTGAGCGGACTGCTGCATCCCTCTTGTGGTCCCTATTAGGTCCCTGTGCCTCTGCGTGTTAAACTTTACAATGTGAATCAGACTGAGTCATCCGTCTGTCCTTGCAGGTCAAGTCAGCTGTTGCTGTTGGCAGGCAAGGCTTGGCCATTCCATGTAGGTAATTCTGTGAGGGAGCCGATTTCTCAAGTTCATTTTCTTTTTCCAGGTTTCTTCGTGGAGAGAGAGAGAGAGAGAGAGAGAGAGAGAGAGAGAGAGAGTGTGTAAAGGGAGGGAGGGAGGAGGGAGGGAAAGGAGAGAAAGAACAAAAAGTTCCAAGAACATACTATGCACATACAAGCAAGCAGCTGGTCGTGATTGTAAATCAGAAACTGTGTGTTGTAAACCAACATTGTCTCATAAAAAGCATCACAGTTTCACTAAATAGATCAGAAATGGTAAAATCATGAAGTTCTTTGAAGTTTGCCCAGAACCTGCCCCACGGCCACCTGTTCCACTGGGGCCGGGAGTTGGACGGCCTGACGCCTCTACTATGGCGCAAGCTGTCGCTGCCCCAGAACGTTCCAGCTTGCCGTCGCCTGGCTGTCATGGCTGGCTCTGGCCCGCTCCGGCGCCTCACCGGCTTCTGTTGGGCACCAGACTTCCAATTAGACAGAAATCCCACTGTGTGGCCAGCCCCGCCAGTGCCACTCTGCGCCGCCCCTTTGCCAAGCCCGCGCTGACCTCTGATCTGTCACAGATGGGCCAGCCCGCCCTCCTTTGTGCACGTCTGGAGGAGGGGGGTGGCGAGGAGGAGGGGAACCCGCGGGGAGCCGGAGTGGACATTGGACAGAAGTGCGGCTCCTCAGAGCTTGGAGAAGCTGGGCAGAGTTGACAGGACCCAAATGCCAACTTTGTGGAGGGAAAGGGACTTTGGGAAGACCCGGTTCCGAGCCCTCCACCCAGCATGGGGCAGTGTCTTACCAACTTCTGAATATTCATCTCAGGCTGGACTCCACACCGAGGACAGCCAGGAGCAGCTCACGGGCTCACTCCAAAACCGTCAGGCTGCTGATGGCTCGTGGCACAGCCAGCTTCCATCCTGCCCGCGCGGGGCCTGTGTGATCCCACCAGCCCAGGGGCTCTGCGCACCCGGCCCCGGGGGTGGTGCTGTCAGCAGCCCTCACCACCGCCTGTGTTAATCACACAGAGCCGGAATAAAAAGCAAGCTTATTTTCTGTTAGCATGAGAAACAATCTAGACCATTCCATTTGTAATTCTCTAGTAAGATACTGAGAATCTAAGCTGCCAACAGCTCCTTTCTAAATGGGACTGACTAAATATGGATCATTATCTTTTTTTTTTTTTTTAAGATTTTATTTATTTATACAAGAAGAACTGGGGTACAGGCCAGTTGCGCGAGAGGGTGAGAGGATTTACAGAGACAGAGAGGGGAACAGAACAGGCAGACTGATGAAACACACTGCTGAGGGGAGCAGCAGGCGCGACAGGAGAGGTCTCTGTTGCGCCTTGTGCAACCCTGGCCGGCTGGCTGGGATCGAACCGGGGCTGCAGAGGCTGCGGACAGCTTCACAGCGCTGTGCTCAACCGCCTGCGCCACCAGGGGAGGCCCTGGATCATTATCTTGGGGACGGTATAGACTATTTTTCCCCATCAGCTGTTCCTTTTTATGTATATCCCCTTCCCTCTCCCCACCCCTTTTATTACTCTTTCTCTGTGTGTCTAGTGTTCTGAGCCTCTGCCTCTCCCTTGCATGTTCTCTGTCTCTTCCCAGGTACAGCGTCAGTAACCCCGCGGTGGAGGCGGTAATCAAGACTCCAGGCGGGCGGTGACATTGGTCTACTTGGGCCTCGCTTGATCTGAGCAACCACAAAGTCTAGTTAACAAATAGCGTAAAAGAGGCAAAGGTCTTCCCAGCTGTTTTTGGACAGAGCCGCTTCAAAATACAGTGGAATCCAGTCCATGGAAGCAAACAAAGGGTCTCATCATCACTCTTTTCTCCCTGGACTGTTTCTCCTTGTAACATTTGCGGCTGCTTTGGGGATTGCACCTAGCCTTTTTTTCCTGCCCCGTCTCTCTCCCTTTTTTCTCTATTTTTACTCTTGTCTGGTTAAAACATACGAACCCCCTCAGCCAGTCAGTGATACTCGTTTGCAGAAGGACATACTCTTTAGGGTGTCGGGTTCTCCCCGGGAGAAAATGGATTATTTTTAGTACCTCCAGCAGTTGCTACAATTAAGGTGCTCTCTCTCTCTCTCTCTCTCTCTCTCTCTCTCTCTCTCGCTCTCGCTCTCGCTCTCTCTCTCTCTCTCTCTCTCTCTTTCTCTCTCTCTCTCTCTCTCGCTCTCTCTCTCTCTCTCTCTCTCTCTCTTGCCTGACTTTTGTTAGACTGATAAAAGAAATGGCCTCGTGCCCCCTCCTCTGTCTGTATGTCTGTCTCATGTGGAAAGTTCAGAAGAGGAAAATCTCTGTGAGGCGGCAAGAGGACACCCATCCTTACAATCAGTGTTGTTTGTTAAATCAGACCCGGAAAGTAGAGACCGTGACCCCCGGGAGACCGCTGGGGAGCCTGGTCGTGCATTAGCTGTAGCGTGTCCATCAGGTCCAGGCTGCAGGCCGTGACCGGGACTGTGATGCTAGCAGAGATCAGGACACGCGAATGCATGCGTGGACCTTGGTCATGAGGGCGGGGCTCGTGATGCCATCCCCCTGGAGGCGCTGCTGTTCTCAGTCCTCTGTCTCTGCCCATGGCGGACTTGCTCATTGCTCGGCGCTGCTGCTTTCCTCTCCCTCCTGCTGTGAGCACATTGCCCGGTGCTGTCTGGGATTTTGTTTCTTTCCATCTTGCCCTGGAGAACCCCTCCAGTGGCTCCCGACCTGGAGCATGTATCAGGATCACTGAGGACGTCTTTGAAAAAATACAGGTGTCTCGGGGGAGGCCTGGGGTCCAGAAATTGTTGAGTTTTTTACTCTTACATCTCTAGTGTGGTGCTCGGGCCTAATCTGTGAGCCCCCAAGACCAGAGACTTCGGGTGTCCATTCTGCAGCCTCCGCACCATGGGTTGTGGTTGGAAGGTGACAGGTAATAACCGGGGAAGCGGACAAGATCCTGATTCATGCTGCTGACACCTTTGCCTCTTCCTGTCATTGTAGATATACCTGTTATTCCAGATCTGGAAGAAGTACAGGAAGAAGACTTTGTTTTGCAAGTGGCAGCCCCTCCTAGGTACAGTCAAGTAGGGGTGAAGCTAGTGGGAGACTGGCCACTTTGTACGAACACACTCCACATACCCTACTGTGGTGCCACCCCCTGGTATCTGTCAGATGCTGTTGGCTGTAGGCTCTGTCCAAGGTGTCCCACTTTCTTAGACATTTCCTTCCCCCTCCGGTCCTTCCCAGCTGCCAGGGAGGCTCTGGGGACATGGCCCGCAGCGCTCCTGAACTGGGCCTGGAGTGGCTCCTCCTCACAGTCTGTCTTTCCTGCAGCATCCAGGTCAACCGGGTGATGACTTACCGTGATCTGGACAATGACCTCATGAAGTACTCGGCCTTTCAAACCTTGGTGAGCAGAACAGGATCCCCAGAAAGGGTCCAGCTCCAGGCACCTTCTGTACAGCATCTTCATGCGTCCAGGGGCTGCCTGGCAGCTGTACTTTGAGGGGGGCAGCCTTCTGGGGTATCCCAGCACCTCTGGGCCCAACATATTCCAGTGCTGCTCCAGGGCCAGGCTCCCACCTGCTCCCCGGCCGCCCCGTTGGCTTCAGTAGAAACGTCTGACTGGGCCAGTCCACCCAGGGTTGGTCTTGCACATACAAAGGAGGGGGTTCCCTCGTTTCTCAGTGGCACGTGGCCCACTCACATTTTTACTCTTGTAAGGCATTTCTGCGTGTCTGGGTGGGGTCTACCACATGCAACCTGGTCCTCCTCACTTTGCGAGAGGCAGTTTCTGAGGACCCCAGCATGCACAGCCTGGCTTCTTTTTTGCACTCACAGGATGGAGAGATCGACCTGAAGCTCCTCACTAAAGTCCTGGCACCGGAGCACGAAGTCCGGGAGGTAGGTGGCCGCGGGAGCTGTCGCTGATGGAGGGGACGGGCCTGCCTTCGCTTCCCCAGTGACACCCCTCTTGCAGGACGACATCAGCTGGGACTGGGACCGACTATACACTGAGGTGTCCTCGGAGCTCCTCACCGAGTGGGACCTGCTGCAGTCCGAGAAGGAGGACCCGGTGGGGCAGCCCTCGCACACCTGAGCCCCGGGGTCCAGCAGACCCCTTTTCTGGGCCTGAATCATCTCTCTGTGGACTGGACAAAATGCAGTAAGCCCAAAACTAAAGAAGCTGGCAAGCAGCTTAAAACTTTTATATGGAATATTTTGTGATAAAAATATTTATTTTCAGTAGACCACATTGGATCACTCACTTGTAATAAATCGCTTTATTCTCTGGTCGTTGCTTCCATTTCTGTCAACACCCTCTGGGGAAAATGGGTCAGGAGGGCAGCTTTGCAACAGTCTGATGGGAAGTCTCCCTGCTGTTGAGTAGGAGGGCCAGTTAGATCTGGGGGTGAAGGGATGGTGCAGCTCCTGAGAGTCGTTCAGTTCACAGGCGCACACAGCACATGCCCGGAGCCTCTACCCGTAAGAGCCCACCCCCACGCGGTTTCTGGGGAGGTTGCAAAGGGCTGCCTGGGGGGCCTGACGTGATGCCTTTCTTGCTATGGACGTGCAGTGACGGCAGCGAACCTGCTCTGTCTCCTTTGTGCTTTGGGGTGGCCACAGCTGAGGAGATCGCAAGCTGTGCGTTCTGGTCTTCACATCAGGGTTTGCTGGCTATTTGGACAACACCCTCTTTCTCCCCTTTTCCTGTGACCCATGCATTGGGCCCCCAAAGCCAGCCTTTCCCTGGGACTCCCTCTGACTTTTCGGGTGCCACGCTGCTTGTCTCCACTGCTCCCCCAAGTGTCATCACTGCCTGCGTCCAAAACAGGCCAAAATCTGGAGGTGAGCCCAACCCTTTAAACAGACGTCTTGGGCTTTTTGTTTTTCTCTCGTTCTCCCGAACACATCTTGTCCGAGGACAGGGATCTTGTCGGCGGACAGGAACCTCTCCCTGCCCACCTCTCCTGGATGCCACTTTGGATCCGGCCCCTGAGGCTGCCAGCCGCTGACTGAAGCCCCTCTCAGCCACCAGGAGTGCTGAGTGCTGCTCTTCTCCTGCCTGGAAAGCCCTTCATTAAAATTCAGAAAAACAAAGAGCTCCACATCAAAAACCCACTGGGGGGTTATTTTCCAGTCACTACTGTGCCCTTCCCCGTGAGCCAGGCCAGCTCGAGCAGGCAGAGGAAGCTTGTCTGTTAATTATAAACTTGGGGATTGAGTGACTGTGGGGTTCCCTTTCCTGCTTTCCAGAGTCACACTCTCAGCCCAGAAAGCCCCTCTTTGGAACCATCCCCATGGTCACTGAGAAGCTTCTGTCCAGGCTGAATTTTCTGGATTCTGCATTATTCTGAAACCCAAAGAGAAAGACTGTGTTTCCAGTGCCTTAATTACTGGCAAGTTCAACTGCTTTGAGATGCTGATAACCTTGGTGGTCTTTGGCCAGCCCTGGCAAGTGGCTCAGGATTGACCGCTTCATTTTATGACAGCAGCAACCAGTCCCAGGTGTATGAGTGCTCACCCCACCTCATGCTAGCTGCTGGGCTCTGTGCGTGTGAGGCGTGCCTTAAGCCTCCCGACTGCCCAGTGAGGTTAATACTGCCGTTACTCTGTCTTACAGATGAGGAAACTGAGGCTGAGAGAGGTTAAGAGGTAGCTCAAGATGGTCCAGTGACCTAGGGGCAGGACTGGAACTCAAAACCAAGGTGTCTGACCCTACTGTGCTTTCAATGCCTATTTCTGTTACCCCTGTACCCTTGCCCTGCATTCAGCTTAGAAAAATTTACAGAAGGCAACTTCTCCCAGCAGTTGCCTGAGAGGAGCTGCCTGCCCCAGCTCCCAGACCAAGCCTCAGTTCTTTCTACAATGTGACCAGAGAGCTGAGGGCTTCTGTCGGGCCTGGGTATAAAGCCTCTCAACCTGGCTGAGAGCCCTGGTCCCCCAGAAGGTAGGGATGAGGCCTGAGGACCTAGTGAAGAGCAGTACTAAGTTCCAGAAGCAAAGCTGGACAAGAGGCCAGCTCAGGCCTCATGTGGCCAAGTCTCCTCTCACCTGCCTGTGCCCCAGCCAAGCCCTGTCTGGACTTCATCCTTTACACCTCTTCTGAGTTCCTAGAGAATGGCAGATGGTTCCAGAACCATCTGCCCAGTTCTTACTCAACTTCTGAAATACCTCCCTATTGTTCCAACCAGCGGCGTCACCCACTCCAGACTTCAAAGGGCCTCCCAAGGAGATGGCCCACGGGGCAGGAGAGAAGGAGCAAGCATCCACAGGTGCCCACAGTGTGATTTTCTGCAGCTACCTGGGGAGACTTGGAACGGTCTTGGTGCTGCCACTTCCTCCGTGTGGCACATTAACTGATACCTCAGAATTTCTCCTGGACTGGCACTCAACACCCTAAGCAGGCTTGAGATGGCCCAGCTGGTCTCTGACAAAATCTGGTGGCTTTGACACCTGCTGCAGAGCTACTCTTCATGGGCCAGGCCTGGGGAGAGGAGTCCTTCCTTCGTGAGTCATTAGGCACCACCGAGTACCCGCCAGGCCCCATTCTAGGCGCTGCAGACATAGACCCAGCCCAGTAGATCCCCCTTCCTTCGAGCGCTTCCATTCTGGCAGGGAGATGCGCAAATAAGCAAAATAGAGTGTGTCAACTAGTGGTAGGCGCCATGGGGAGAACTAGAGCAGGAACGGGGTGGGGGGGTGCGGTGATATGGAAGGGGTGCTTAAGGGAGGACTCACTGAGAGGTGGCATCTGAGTAAAGACCCAAAGAAGGTGAAGGAGAAGTAAGGCTGGTCCCTGGGGAAGAGTTCCAGGAAGAGAGTGGCAGGGCAGCAGCCAAGAGGAAGGCAGGTTCCTGGCTTGTGTGAGAAGCAGGAGCCATGTTCCGGGCTGAAGGCAACAGGGGAAGGAAACTTTGTCGTGCTGTGACAGACCCTGGTGTGTGGGGTGGGCTCCCTCCAGTGACAGAGCTACTCAGACTCCCTCAGGCCTGCAAGGTAGCCTTACGCTTCCTCCAACACCTCACGACCGCTACATGCCCGAGCCTAGAGGAAGCCACAAGTTCATGCTACACGGAAGGGAGGTGAACAATGAGCTCTGTCTGCCCAGGACAAGCGTTCAGGAAGCAGCTATCAGCTCCCTGCCAAGCAGGGCATGCGGGTGTGCCAGGCAGACAGGGTGGCATTGGAAGGCCCCTGCATGGAACACTCCCTGGAAACTTGCATCTCTGATGAAAACTCAAGCAAGAAATTCACACGGGCAGGCCTGTGGCTGCAGCTGAGGTCATCTCTATCCCTAATTGTTGGTTCATCTTGGCTAAGCCCCAGGACACTCGGAATGGGGTTTTGTAACAACGTGTTCCAGATGGAAACTGATGCTACCACGTGTTAGTGTGGCACAGGCTGCTTACCTGAATCAAGGCCCCCCCTTGCTGGGTGGTTACCTGGTTCCTGGGAGCGCTGATGCCAGACACCTGTGTGAAAGGTAAGTATTTGCTACAGGGTGATAAGGAAGCTTAGCACCCTCATTCTCCATGCCCCCAAAGCACTGTGCTTTTCTCCTGGGGGACAGAAATTCAGTGGGGAAGAACACAGATTCCAGGATCAGAGTCCCAACTGCACTCCAGTACCAGCCGGTCACTTAGTAGCTGTGCATCTTTGAGCAAGTTGTTTCCTTTTCTCTTCCTGTTTTCTCACCTGAAAAATGAAGATAATATTAGTACTATCCTCTTAATTGCAGTGCCCCATAAAAGCTGACAGCTGTTACTAGAGTTGAGAACTGGATGGGATGGAAAAGGGAACATATGAAAGTCACACGGGATAATTTATGGCAACAATGCCTGTGTTTTGCTAGAAAATACCAACTCCATGAGTGCTCGGCCATGGACAGAAGATTGGGTCAGTACCAGTTTTTTTGCTTTGTTTTACACCAACTCTGTTGAGATATAATTTGCATGCCTTAAAATCACCCATTGCAGCAGGCACATATTTGGTGATTTTAGTAAATTTATGGAGTCATGCAGCCATCGCCATAATCCTGTTTTAGGACATTTTTATGACCCCAGAAAGTTCCCCTAGTGTCCATTTGTAGTTAATCCCACTGCTACTCCAGCCAAAAGCAACCACTGATCTGCTTTCTTCCTCTGTAAATGTGTCATTTCTAGAAATTTCACATAAAGAGACTCTTATATGTTGGAGCTTTTTGACTCTGGCTGCTTTCTCTTAGCTTGTTTCCAAGTTCATTCATATTTTAGTGTGTAGTAGTCATTAGTTCCTTTGGTTGCTGGGTGGTATTCCATCATATGGATGGATGGATACAACCCACATTTTGTTTAACTCATCGGATGATGGCATTTGTTTGCTGTTGTTGTTTGGTTGGTTTTTTATTAATTTTTCCCCAGTCTGTCTCTGGTGAATCCTCTCACCCACCACCCCCACCACCCCCCCACACCTCTGGCCTGTACCCCATTGTATACATAAATAAATCTTCAAAAAAAAAAAAAGAAATTTCTGGGTCATAGGGTATGTTTATGTTGAGCTTTCTCAAGGCATCCCTTTTATTTGTGTGTTTGTTTTTCAGTGCTTTGGGGTATCAGGATGAATTCAATAGCTAACTTTTTGTCTCCTTTCCTTAAGTTTTCCAGAGGAGGCTGTTGAGTTTGCAGGAAGCACATTCTCCAGATTCCTGCCTCCTCCCTTCCTCCTAAACTCCTAAGATAGAGCTTATCTCTGTTTGGAGAACACAGAGCTCCATGGTGGCCTCCCTGCCAGCCCCTGAGCTTCTTCAGCCTAAGACAGGGTGTTGTTTCTCTTAAGTCCCATGCATATTCCAGGAGTAAAGTCAAACAAGGCATGATCCTGACTCCAAAGAAACAGGCAAGTTTCAGCGATATTTTCAAAGCATTTGTTATGAAAACCACAGCGCCTCTCGCCTCTCCAAGTGTGTGGAGGAACCCAAATGACTCACCGCCAAGAGCAGATGAAGGCAGAGAGGAGGGAACTTCAGTGTCCACCGAGAAATGCAGCTCTGGACCGGTTCTCTTAGAGCAGGGGTCAGCAAGCTGCAGCTGGTGGTCAAGCCAGCCCCCCACTTGTTTTTGTAAAGTGTTGCAGAAGACAGCCTCCCTTCTTTGTTTACACATTGTCTGTGGCTGGCTTTGTGCTCTGACAGCAGAGCCTAGTTGTGACAGACGCCATATGGCTGGCAAAACCTAAAATATTTACAATCTGGCCCATTACGGACAAAGTTCCCCAGCCCCTCCTCGGAGGAAAGAGCAAAGAAGAGAAATAATACCCAAGTGCTCTTAAAAGGCAGCTGCTATTGTTATA